ATATGATATTATCACCACTATACGTAATTCCTTCAACATATTTATTATGTTTAAAATCTTACGTACACAAGGTTATAGATAATCCACTTAATTGTGTCACTCCCCTGCGAAGTACAGGGGTGCGGCAGCACATTTTTATCAGGTTACGAGCGCCCGCCGCCTGCACCTATCCCGGTCCCCGCTCTCGGTCCACCTCCGCACTTCGCAGGCGAGAATTTAATTAACCGTTTTATATGTATTTACTAAACATCCTGAAAAATGTTTAAAATCAGCTCCAGAACCGGTGTCTATAACTTTCATTACACATATAGAAGTTCATGTCTTAAAGTTTTTTTTTTAATTACAGGGAAAAATATAGCAACGTGAAGAAAATTGTATTGCTTATATATATATCGCAGTGGGCAATAGCTGAAAAGCTTTAAGGTAGTCAGAACTCTGTAACTTTTTTTTTTATATAGATCATTGTTAGTATCTGTGTGGTGACGGATTAAGAATACACAGTGTCACCACCCCTCTTCATCCCGTGGGTGTCGTAAGAGCCGATTAAAACAGGAACGCAACAAACTGCGCAGGACAACAGCACTACAAAGAGAAGGAAAACTTGAAACAAACCCTATACCAACCCGTCTGGCCAGCGATGTATAGTAGGCCAAAACCTCCTTTCTAAGGAGAGGTCTATGTCCAGCAGTGGACTAGTAAAGGCTGTTGATGATGATTGTTATTCCGATCAAAACAGTAGTCGACAAAACTAGTTACGTATGACAGACGCATTCGCTAAAAACGACCTTCCACACAATCTTTGGATGGGTCACCTACTCATGATATACCTGACGCTATAATAGATGTAACTAAAATGTATAATGTGATTACAGTAATTTGCCTTTTCTTTCTATGTGGAAATCCCCTCGGATACCACCCACCGGTGGCTATGTCGTATTCGAACCGATTAAAAACCGCACACCGTCGCGGGTACCAGTTGCCGGCGAACCAGGTGTACCCTAGAAAGACAGTAATTTGCCTAATATTATTTCAAGTGACAACTTAAAAATAACATTGTTGAGAAGTTGGGCTCGAGATAAAAGTGGCAGTTCAAGAGGATTCGGCGTAAATGCCCTTATCAAGAAACTTCAGAACGGCTAGTCGATACTTCCTTTTGGACGTGTGCCCAGTCTGTATCAGTAAACCAATTTCAAACAATTTTTCGAGACTTAAGTGTATTTACAGCACTTTTGACTTCCCTTGTTATTGTAAACAATTAGAAATTAAGTAAGCAAACTAATTTCTTCTAGAAACAATACTTGAGAACATAAATGGAAGCTTAAATTAGTGTACCGTGATCCTAAGTTACTTTTATGCAACAATCTATACTAATATTATAAAGCTGAAGAGTTTGTTTGTTTATTTGTTTGTTTGTTTGTTTGAACGCGCTAATCTCAGGAACTACTGGTCCGATTTGAAAAATTCTTTCAGTGTTAGATAGCCCATTTATCGAGGAAGGCTATAGGCTATATATCATCACGCTAAGACCAATAAGAGCGGAGCACCAATGAAGAATGTTTCAAAAACGGAGAAAATTTATTACTATTGAGAGACGCAGACGAAGTTGCGCGGGTCAGCTAGTATTCTAATAAAGATCTACGCTCGTATCGCTTTCTACTCCACTGAGTGGTGTAGGTTCGATCCCCACATGGGACGACACTTTGTGTAATCAACAAATTGTTGTTCTGAGTCTGGGTGTTCTTTGTGTCCATTTCATTTATGATTGTAAAGTCCCCCGTGACACATTATACATATGTTACTAATGCGGGCGTGGTCTTCTTAAAAAAAGTATTTATATTGCATGTAAAATATATTATATTGCTGCATAGCGTGTTGCATAATCAGCATGTTCTGCAACATGTTATGCAACAACTATACTATTTAAATAAATTACTACTAGCGATATGACGATTTTCCAGCCTCGCTAATACTTTTTTGTAATTCATATTTTAACATTAATTACTTTTAGTCCAAACTTTTTGTTAATCATTTAAATGAATATATAAATATTGCATTATTAGAAAGAGTTATCAATTATTTACTTTCCTATTAATAAAAATGATACTTATTTTTATCCAAAGAATTACGTTTCCAATATATTTTAATAATACAAAAGTTTACTAGGTAAAAAAACGACTAAGGGGATTTCTTTCAAGGATATTTTGTCTTAAATTTATTATGATATTAAGCGGCGTGATCCTCAGTCTTAAGATCTATTAGTTTGTAATTACATTGTAATAGTTTACTCTCCGACAACACCAAGGTCAAATTTTACTCTTAATTGCTGTTACTATTTTTAATTATACTTAAGAGAAGTAAATAGTCAATAAAGATGAAGGACAGTTTACATTATAAAAAGTATTAATTAGTACTGTATTCAACCTCTTTAGATTACGATGAAAGGCTACAAGCAATAAGGTACGATCATTCCTTCAGTAAGCTGTGTTAGTATTGAAAACCAACAGATTTAATTCAACAAAAATCATTGCGCGATGCAGGGTCAGTGCTTACTAAGTAGTTCAGGTTATCGTGGCTAGATGTCACTAGAACATACTTTATATGTCGATAAGTATATGCTTCTCAGTTTCTTTACAAAGTTTTCTGGATGAATATAAATGTGTGTGCGTGTGTGTGTGTGTGTGTGTGTGTGTGTGTGTGTGTGTGTGTGTGTGTGTGTGTGTGTGTGTACAGCACACATGTGCGATATGCGTAATATAATACACGTCTGTCAGTTTTCAAACTAATGGGTTCGCAATTCAAGTACAAAAGAGGTTTGACGGCCTCATTCCCTTGAAAGCAAGCACAAAGGTTGATTTATGAAACTAAGATAATATGTAGACATTAAGACAAAGTCGAAATGTGGAGGAATTGTTTTGTGCAAAGGCAGCGCCTCTACGAGTCTTATTTAATTATACGGTTCCTTGGCTGTCTTATCTAAAGACGCGGTTGTAATAATTGCTGAATATTTCTTTTATAAAGTTCGCCAATTTATAAATAGGCTTGTTACAGTTTAAGGAAGGGGTCACCTGTGAGTCAAGTGCGAGTTTATTTCACATCAACTCGCTCTTCACGGTGATCGCGTTCGGCGCTACGATTGGCCCGCACTGAACTCTACACCAATCACAGCGCAGAACGCGGTCACGTACGTAAACAATATCCGAATTCAGTCAGTCAGTCATCCTTCCAAATCCGTGTCAGAAATCGTAGGTTTAGTAGGTAGGTAGGCCCGGGATTTCTAAGCGAATGTATGATGATCCAAATCGCATCCGATTCTGCTCCGATTCCGCTCTAACATCGGCTTTTCCGATTCTCAGTCCGGTCGACCCGGCTACGTTGCGCTGAAGCATGTTTCTCCCATGTACGCTCTACTATCATAATTAATAGGCAACACAAAATAGGTTATTTGACTTGTTCCTGGAACACATCACACATTAGTAAGTCGGTCAATTTACTATACTAATATTATTAATGTTCATTGATATTTATTTTAAGTGCGACATCAAATGACGTCATTCGTTTGTAAATCAACGTTGGAGAGCATGTCGATTCAAACTTTCTACTAGTAGTGATAAAATAGATTTTGTGTTAAAAATCAGTAAAAAAACTCATTTATCGAAAAGAGATAAAAACCACCTTTAAAGTGATGTATTTTGAAGAAATTTGACTTAAATCGGTGCAGCACTTTTTGAGTTTTTACAAAAATGAAAATTTATTTTAGAACACAAACCAATTTAACATTTTTATATAAATAGATCTTTATAGAGTTGCGCTTTCCACAACCACTTCAGTTGTAACATCTCAGGTGTCTGTAGACAAATCGCCACTCAGAACAGCAAACAATCTATTGATCGTGTACTATGTTATTCCAATCGGATTTGGCATAGTTTCACCTAACACAACTGAATTCAAGTTCCCTTTCGTGTCATCTGGAGTGGAACGAACCGGCATGAATTCATCCGACATATCTATTGCATATTGCGCTAACATGTCATAATATCAGATTTTCACACATGTTGAAGGTCCAAGACTGGGGATCACCTATTATATGTAGGTAAGGCTACTGTTTTATTTTTGTATCTATAGCTATATGCAGGTACATTGTCTGCCTACGTAAAAAAATCAAAATAAGTAATTTTGATTATTATCGATGTTATTTTTTTTCTAAATAAATGAAAAAAATCACTGCGATGAAAGCAAAAAGTTGATTAAAAAATGTTACATGTAAAAAATCAGAGTTAAGTACAAGCTGAGAATGTTCACATCAAAAAAAAAAATTACCCGAATTATCCCGTTGAAAAACCTGGCAATTATTTTTTTTTACACGCTTTATATTAGCATCACTTGTATGTTTGTTTGTATAATAATATAATATATAATATAATATTGTACCACATTCACACAACGCCATCTAGTCCCAAACTAAGCAGAGCTTGTACTATGGGTACTAGATAACTGATATAAATACAAATATACTTTTTTTTTTGTAAATACATACTTATTATACATAGAAACACCCAGACCAAATCAAACATTAAATGTTCATGCACACAAATGTTTGACTTGAGCGGGAATCGAACCCGCGACCTTTGGAATAGCAGTCCGTTACACAAACCACTACGCCATTCGGTCGTGTATCCTCTTGTCTGTTGAAACACCGGCTCCCGGTATAAACACATTTTCGCCGGAACTGTTGACATACCGGGAGCCGGTATGGGTAAGTGTGTTCTCATAATCGCTCTAAAGCACGTCATTGTATATACCCTATCCTTTCTAACACGTTACAAATGCATAAAGAAGAAACAGGCTGACTAGTGAAGCCAAAATCTCGCGCAGCTTTAGTGAAAAAAATGTAAACAAGAGTCAGTCAAAACTCCGCCATCGCCTAGGTGACTACTTATTTTTTGTGTTGGTGAAAACTTGTGTTTTATCTTGAAGTGATTCGCTGAATATTAGAAAAAACGATGGAAGGGTAAGTAATTATTGATTATGTATACAAATTATATAATAGTTCTGTTAATTTTCACTAAAAATCGGTCTGTAACTATCAGCATGTTCAATGTCGAACACGTGACGACGATTTTATTGTCGTCATATTTCAACCAAAAATGGATGAAAAGGCAAGTTGATGTTAGATCTAAGACGTAAAATTAATTAGTTTTGATATATTTCATAGGTAGCATTATATTTCTTTCAAAAACATGAAAATATGTAATGAAAATGGGAGTACATAGTCTCATACCGGGAGCCGGTTACGTCAACAGTATACGTTTGACATTTATGGGCAGCCATGTTTTTTGTGTTTCTGGGATGCTTCCTAAGTATGGATATGCCTCAGAAATGTTTTTGTATGCATTAAAATTTTAATTTATTTTTTATTTTTGCAATTTTTTTCATTATCGGTTTTTTCTTTTGGTTTTTGTATTGAGCAAAATTATATTTTTAGTTATTACGATACTGGTACTGATTTTCATATTTTCTAAGGATTCCTCCAGACGGGGCTTCATCTTCATCATCAGCCGTCAGGGCTCCTCCTTTGAGGGACGAGGAAATTGCCCGAATCTTGAATCATGGTAAGTGAATATTTTTCTTTCAGACCTATCTTTTAGTAGTATATATATATCTGTTTACATAGGTAAAACAGACTACAGTATATTATTATTATTTACACAGGCAGTGAAGAGGATGCTGACAGCGATGATGAAGATGAAGATTTAGTTCAGCCAGTGCATCTGCCGAGGAGAGCTGAAAGACTTTTTATGTCTGAGGAAGACACTGAGGTGCCACCGATAAACGCTGCTATAGGCTTTGAGTGGCCACCTCAACTTCCCTCCGGCCTGCAGCCCCAACCTAGCGCCCAGCCCGAACCCGAACCCAACGCCGAGCCTGAACCCAGTGCCGACCCCGAAGCCAGCGCCGAGCCATACAATAAGTTTGATTTTAAGTGGAGAGGGTTTTCAGAATCTCAAATTCCTCCTGAATTGAGAAAGGAACCATTCTCCGAAATTAATTGTGGTCCCACAGTTCCATTGGCGAGCCCATATGTGTGTTCACCTGCTTTGAGCCACATCACACTTAACAGTAACACATCACACAAACAGTATACCTATACGCACAGCTACTCAGGAACACACAGGAGTCTGAAACGCTTTATGTCGCCAGTTCAGTGGGAATTAGGAAGGTAAGTATATTTGTCCAAATCGTGAAACAGTAAGACAATTAAGGCTGCATATGTATATTAATGTATTTGAAAGTAATATTTTTACGTATTTATTTCTTTATTTACGTAGGTTACATTTTCATTAAAAATATCTATCTATCTATCTATATTTATTATTATTAGCAATATTTTGGGTAAAATATATAATTGTAGTTCCCTCGGTTGCGTCATTCGTTTGGATTACAGTCATCATTATTTGAGAGTGCTGCCAACCCTTTTAATCTACAAGAAATATCAGTGCTGCTAACCCTTGTATTCTACAAGCAATATCCCACGAAATCAGGGACTATATTTGATCTTATCATTAGCTATGACTGCAATATTCATTTTTTGAATTAGCAAAAATTTATAAAAGTACTTATACTAAATGTGTAAATATCAACTACTCAAATGCAGTGGTAAATTTATCAAAAAACGTTAGATTTAGCGTTGAAATCATTCTGTTGGCAGCTCTCTGGTTAGTACTTTGGTATATGGGCGTTTTTCAAAAAAACTGACCGTTACGTTACCGGAATGTGACCGGAATCCACTTTTTTGACCTATGCAATGTGTAACATATTAAAGTGCAAAGCTCATATACCCCAATTAGATAAAAATGTTTTGAATGTACGTTAGTAAAAAAACAAACACTATACTCGTGAGAACCATAACTTGAAAATATGTTATACGAAAAGTCGTATCCATACTTTTTTAACCTCTCAGGTACCAAAATGAACCATTTTTTACTACTTTTATCAACTTACATCTTGAAATATTTCTTAGAACTGTATTGTTCTGTTGATTTGTTTTGATGCTTTAATCTATCTAAATATTAGAAAATGTCTAAAAATTCCGTTAGTTGCAATATTTTTTCCAAAAACTATGTTTTTAAATGTATGTAATTTTTGACCCAAATTTTTGAGTTATTTTTGTTTAACTCCTACTCAAGATATATGTAATATAGTGCTGCGATACTTTTGTAATACACAGTTTATAAGCTTAAGTTTCTAATAAACAAAGCATCTTAGTCTATATCGGCATAAGTCATTTAAAATTAGGTTGAAATATTATACCCACTTTTGAGGACTTGTTAAGTGGCAGTTCTTTGTGACTATATTAAGAACATGTGTTGTGTAAAAAATATGTATGGTGGCACTTGAAGTTTGAGTTGTATTTTATACCTAATGTGATAAGTTGTAAATAAAATATTTTATGAACTTCCAAATATTGTTGTAATTAAAATTATAACCGAAACTTATCTAAATATCATAGTACCCTATGTTGAAAGTTCTATGTTAGCTATAATTGAGTATTTATATATAGAAATGGTTGAAAGTGAATAAAGATTATTCAATTTCCAATAAGATTTTTTAACTTGAATTGACTTGATTCCAACTAGATACGGAGAAAATCCAGTTACAGTAAAAGTCTATCTCAAAAATGGGCTGTCTGTTGACCATACCGGCTCCCGGTATAACAGGTAATGCAAAATGGGCTAATGTCATTCAACATACAAGAGGGTATGTTTGTAACCGACTCCTTTGGGCGTGATTTTGACTGACTTTAAACGGTCAGAATTCGTTCAAACTTTGTAGATATATCGAGGACCGATGACAATACACTAATTAAAAAAAATTAAAAAAAATAATTATAGTTTTAAAAAACTAAAAAACACGCTTTCTATAGAATAGAAATACATTTGAAAAAAAGCGTGGGGTGCTTTTTACTATTGACAACAGGCACCCAACGCTTTTTTTCTATTTTTTAGTTTGGTTTTCTATAGAAAGCGTGTTTTCTAGTTTTTTAAAACTATAATTTTTTTTAATATAAAGGTATTTTGCGCTGCCCATCCTATACTTTATTAGTATTTTCGATATTTAAAAAGCAATCATCTTGTTTACTACAAAAAAAAACGGTAAAATGTAAGATGTCATTCCGGGCATTCTACATTCAAAAAATAATGTTCAACCGCTCCACCAGCATCTGGGCCCGTCGTTATTGATCCAGCCCTGCACGACCTTGAAAGTGGTGATACCCTACTGCATACTTTGTTGAGTTAAGGTGGCCAACATTTGTGGAAGGATCAAGCCTTTAGGTGATTCGTCTTCCTTCTTCTTCGTAGTTTATTTCAATTAATAACTTTCTGTTGTTACTGCTACTAATGCTTTTCTTACTATAACTTTATACTCGTAGTTTTTATTATAAATAGTTAGATATGGTATTAAAATTCTGATAAATATTGCCAAAAAATATCAACCTATTTTATCATTTCGAAATTGTGACCAAAGAATTTGTCAGGAGGGAATACCGCTGTCAGTTTACACAGGCAAGAAAATTACCAGTGCCACACAAGTGACACTACAGTCTCGCAACTTACGAGTCTTTCCAAGTACAACGGTAACAGCTTTCCAAGTTAACTGATTAAATAGAGTTAGTTGAATGTTTTGACTTGACAGCTTGTTTTATCTGCAGCGTCAAGGGATCGGTTTCCTGAAAAAAAAAGGATGAAGGACAAGTGATGATAAATTCGAAGAGTCCCTCATAAATAATCTTAACTTAGTCACTAATCTATATTTATTATAATTACCTTTTATTACGCACACCGATCTTTACGATCATCACCCAGTGAAGGGAGAGTTATACCGGCTTAGTGTTAAGCTGCCCTTGGCCCAAATAGCCCGGTCGATAGCACTCTCAAACTCATTGCTGCGTTCGTATTTTCAGATTTAACCCTCCAGTCTACGAATTTTCTTTATAAGGTTTTTGGACTCTGTGAGAATATGTTATGTGATGGATAATTGTGGCGTTATTTTTTGTGTGATTTTGTGAGTTATTTCCCAAAGTAGAAATGGTGATGAATCTTGTTTGTGTTAGTTGAAGTTTGAAAATACACAGCTTTGACATCTTATAGGAAGTGATGTGGAAAGGGACTGTTCTTTATTTTTATTGATGACTTTCGTGACTATTGTAAGTAAAATTTTAGTGATGAATGAAATTAAGAATTTTGATCCAAAAGTATGTTTACTTGTACTGATTGTTATAACTTGTTGTTGTAACTTGTAATGATTGTTATAAAATAGACATAAAATATCTTATGTTTATTTGCTTACCTTTGTATGTACTTCCAAGTATGTACTTGGAAGTAAATTTCACAGCAAAGGACTTAACCATTTCTGGATTGGCGTTAACAGGAAGCTCACAAATTAACATTTATATTATTAAATATCGGTCGATTTTAAATAATTATTCCTGTTTTGTTGGGACCGGAGGTTATGTCTTTTAATTAGATGTATTTAACGTGTATGCTACCGGGGCATTTTTGAGTTCTTGATTTAAATGTAATGTTGCTAGTAGTAATTTATATTCAAAAAATGATTTCAGGAGTTGATTATAAAAATATGTAATAGTTTACATAGACATACCTAGTTTAGATAACAATATTTGTTTATAAGAAGACAAGGGATTTTTAACTAAGAATTATTAGATACTGAAAACAAAATAGACCTGATTCCGTGTGTGAATTATGACACCGATGTAACACACAGGCGAAACCATAACCCTGATCTAGCAGAAGTGGCGTCTGTTATAAGACACTGGATTGCTCCTCAAGTCATCATCAACAGCCTATACTAGTCCACTGCTGGACATTGGCCTCTCCTTAGAAAGGAGGTTTTGGCCTACTATACCACGCTGGCCAGACGGGTTGGTATAGGGTTTGTTTCAAGTTTTCCTTCTCTTTGCAGTGCTGTTGTCCTGCTTAGTTTGCTCCCTTAGTCGGCTCTTACGACACCCACGGGATGAATTGGGGTGGTGACAATTTGTATTCTTAATCCGTCACCACACGGACTCAAGTGGTATGTTTATATTATGTTATCAAGTTAAATATTATCTGTTTTAACTGCAAAAGTATTAAGTACGCAATAACAACAATGCGATTAAAAAAATATTGTTCAAATTGATCACAGGTCGGCAACGAGAGTGTCAGTGTCATGCTTGCTGGACAATTGCTCTAAATCTAAATGAAACAAATGTTTTAAATGCAGAATTTTACTCGTACACCAACAGCGGACACCATCGACATGTTTGTATTGACTGTGAAAGTTCCATCTTGCGAACAAAATATAAATCCACCAGCCCATGGGTAACATATTGTGGACCTATGATTCAGAATTATAAAAATAATAAACAGTGTTTTATTTACATGACCTAATCAAATGTTAAATGTCAAAAAAAAGTTACATGACTTCTGCTATTACCATAATATATAATTCTGTTTCAGACCAGTATAAGCTATAAAATCTATATCATATTTGTCCAAATAGTAACTGTTCATGTCAAGACAAATCTTCTAACAAAATGGACATTGTCCTTTATTAAGAAAACACTTTATTAAGTAGTTTAATCGACTTTTAGACAACTCCCGCATTAGGAATGTATCGTGTGTCGCGGGGGACTTTACCAACATACATGAAACGGACACAATGTACACCCAGACTTAGAACAATAATTTGTGGATCACACAAAGTTTTAACAACACACGAATTAAATTAAAAGTTAAAAACCATAACGTTATGTGGAATAAAATAACATTTATAGCTTTGTAAATTTAAGAAATAAAGTGAACTTGTTCCGGACAATTAAGACAATTTCGATGTACGCAGACTGAATGTTAATGGGCAATTTATAGCCCAGTAGTAAGATACTGTGACGGAATGCATAATTGACATGTAGCTGATATGCAAATGAAGAGATTAGTGAACACGAGATGGCAATCTTGTAGCGTTTTGCATAATCCTAAATTGTCATCAAGCTGAGTGACATACGGCGAACAGTTTTCACTCTTGGCTAATTTGCTAGAAGCTCTTCTAATCTCTTGTTTTGTTTAAGTATATCTGTTATGAGTAATAAGAGAATATGTACCTTTTTGCTCAAAGTGGCAGTAGAAATCTGCCTCTACCACTCCGTTCAAACATGTGAACCTCACCAAATCCAGGACCTTTATAACATTCTTTATTCAAAATGCGAATTTGGGAGCAGAAGGCCTCGGGGTGCTTCAAATTATTATTATTATACATACATAATATCATATGAAAAAATGGGACCAACCATTTCTTTTTATTGGAACCAAGTTCCTTATAGCGCGTTATACGCTCTGAGCGGATAGGAGCGAGACGGAAAAATGTGTAACAAGATACTTCTTTATCATTATTTATTTTATACATACTAAACATATTTTCAATACTAGTTACCTCCTTTCTAAGGAGAGGCCTATGTCCAGCAGTGGACTATTAGAGGCTGTTGATGATGATGATGATGAAATATATTTTATTATATTTAACTCTATTAACTTGATATTTCATAATATAAAGTTTAATGACTGAATAGCAACGTCTACCAAAAAGCGAAAGGAACTTCGTTCCGACCGGGGGTCCATAGCTCACGCCGTTTTGTAGACTTGGTGGTTTGTTGGTTTTTTTAACTTCTCTGAAAACGCAATTAGACTTTTTGTTATACAATGATAAAATTCACCACTATTATTTTGGAGATTTTCTAATTATATTTATCCGAAGTAAGGGATGCATCACGCAATAATTAGGTTGACGCTGATATTAATTTAAACAGAAGCTACAATGACTTTACCGCAACGAAGTTTATTGGTTGTTATACTAAAACATCAACAATTGTGTAACCAAAATTAACCATGCAAATTTACCATGGAAGGGCAATGCTTCGGTAGATGAGGGCCAGCTCGACTATAGTACCAGGGCCTAAAAGAAAACTGGTATAAAGCAAAGCTCGCTGCTGGGAAAGAAGTAGCGATAAAGGGACATAAAGCTTACATCGAAGGTTCTACTGTAGGTATTGATTGGTCACCAGGAAAGTGTGATCGTTAAAAGTGCAGCACAGAGAATTTGATTTAAAAAATGTATTTCTTTGTTCTCAGGACCTCCCTCCCAGTGGCTCAATTCAGCCGCGGTGACTTCTCCCTCTGGTCTGTTTTAAAGAACTGCGTCGGCAAAGAGCTTTCCAAGATCACGATGCCGGTTGTGTTCAATGAGCCGTTGTCCTTCCTGCAGAGGATGCTGGAATATTTGGAGTACGCGCACCTGCTAAGAATGGCATCGGAGCAGACTGATCCTGTGGCGAGGATGGAATATATTGCTGGTGAGAACTTAAACTTGAAAAACTGAGAATATACGTAACGATACATAGCTACATACACTAGTATATATATTTAAATATGCTCATCGTTAGTTTGCTCTTGATAGTGTATTATTGTAGAACTATAAGATAATATCATGCTTCGCAACACGTAATAATAATAATATACAACATCGTCAGAGGCTTGCGTTAGGCAGCTGGTTTAAGGGTCTGATGCAGAGAGCAGTTCTTCTCGATACAGCACGTATTGTGAGGAGGTTTCTGTTTCTAGAGTCCTAACTACCGGTATCTTGGTCCCTGTACCTGATACCGATGAGACACTATTTTTTATATTTTTTAAATATATTTTGTTTTTTTTTCAGTTATATGATCTTTCAGGTATATTCAAAAATGTAAGTTAGATGTATATTTAATCAAATAACGAGAAAAATAATATAATATTCCAAACATCTGACATACAACGCCATCTAGTTTCAAATCAAGCAGAGCTTGTACTATGAAAATTAGATTGACTGATAGAAAAAAAAACTTTTTTTGTAAATAAATACATAGTATATATAGAACACCCAAACTCCGAAACAAATATTAATAGGCTTTGGACCCAACAGACACTGTCCAAAATGTGGTTGAAATCGAAGAAAGATTTATTTTTTATTTTTAAGAAAGATACATTTGCAGACTGCCACCGGGGGCGAATTAATGATTGGCAGACATAGTATAGGACTCACAAAATCGAAGCCTATCAATACACGAACTCAACGAAACGTCTGTAAATCGCAATGAGATTTGTTACACAAAAAGCTTTTCAAAAGCAACGTGTAACAAGACGCTGAACATATAAACATTAGTTTTATTACATGTTGTTACAAGCTAGCAAAAATATAATATATATTTGTACAACAAGGGCGGATATATTTAATTGACGTACTACGTAAGCTAACATATTTTTTAATGTTTTTTATGTCACCACGACATAATAATAGCCTATAGTACGAGTAATAACAATAAACTTGTTGATGTTTGTCAAGGAAAAAATGATCCAATGATGGAATGATAATTCATTTAAAGTCAGGCTTACTGCAGTTCCAAGACAAAAAAAACATAACTCTTTGAATTTCATGCGCTAAACACCCTTTAATTTAATAATTTTTACAAAAACATTTTCTTCAAAAATTCAATTAGATGATTTTTCTATGCTCAGATATCAAAATAGATTGCCGGTAATAGCAACCAGGTATTGCTGGAGATTCATTACTGCGGCGGTCCTTCAAATCGGAAGAAAATAAATTCGAATAAACGTTTCCTTCGCCGTACTTATAAAAAACAATTACCTGTTTTGAATTATTTATTCGGTACTGTAACAACTTAAAAAACAAGTCGTGTCAAATTTGTAACTTAAATCTAATAAAAATGAGAATTTACTTAATTACGTTTATTATCATGAATCATAAATGGCTCTTTGCTCCTATTATAAAGTGATGAGATTATTTAGTTTCCACCTTCGATGTGTCCTATAATGAAACTTCATAACAATTTATTTATACCGTTTAATTGCAAAATGTAATATAATAATAATATTTTCGACATATAACGCACAACGCCATCTAGTTTCAAACTAAGCAGAGCTTGTACTATGAAAGCTAATCTGATCTATCTCTCGGCAACAATTTATAGAGTTTGTTTCCTTCATTATATATATGATGTGTATTACTATATACTATATTCTTTTACTACTATATGTACTATATTCTTTTGAATTTAAAAGTCTTATTTTTTACAGCTAACGTCACTCGTTACTTTGCACGACGTTGAAATTTATAGAATAGAAATGAACTTTGTTGTACCCTAACAGAATTTTAACAAGGAATAGGTATATCTGGTAAATATGTACAAAGGGCGGCCTTATCGTTAAAAGTAATTTATTACTTCAACCTTTGGAGGGACAAAGAAGATAATAAATAGGCTCGTTTTCGTGTATAAATTGTTGGTTTAGGAGATATTTGTTAAGAAATGTAGAATTCATCATTCATATCAGTCATCTTTTAAAACCAGCACTGTTTTTCTGAACCCGAAACTCTCTAAGTAAGTAAGCGCTGTATATATTCGTGTGTTATGTTGTCCACAGCATTTGCAGTAAGTGCTCTCGCATCAAACTGGGAGCGTCTCGGGAAACCATTCAACCCACTTCTCGGTGAGACGTACGAACTTGAGCGTCCAGAGTTCAGAGCTGTTTGTGAACAGGTACGACTTTTTTGTTAACTTAATACACCTAGGTTCAAAACATGTTATTTACTACAAGATTTCCTTTCGATATACATTGGCACTAAATATGATAAAGCCATTTGATGCTATAGATTGTCCATTATTCAATTTAATTTTACTAAAATGGGTTCCTGCTTTGACTTCTTTTTCTTTGGAAACTGAACAGACAATGCAGTTATAAAGTGTTGTAAGGCCAGCCAAAGCTTTAGCAAGTGCAAATGCCAGCAAACTTATACTTTAAAAGTTATAAAGTTGTTTTTTTTTTACTATTTCTTAAAATTGTCATCATCATCATCATCAACAGCCTATAAAAGTCCACTGCTGGATATAGGCCTCTCCTTAGAAAGGAGGTTTTTGCCTACTATACCACGCTGGCCAGACGGGTTGGTATACGGTTTGTTTCAGTTTTCCTTCTCTTTGCAGTTGTTCTCCTGCGTAGTTTGCTCCCTTAGTCGGCTCTTACGACACCCACGGGATGAATAGGGATGGTGACATTCTGTTTTCTTAATCCGTCACCACACGGACAAAAAATTGACATCAAACTGAAAAAGCGCAACCAATTTATTTGTTTATATAATAGTGCAGGCGCTAGAAGTAATTGAGTATGTAAAATGTGAGGACCAAATACCAACTATGGATTTGTGTTAAGAAACGGTTAAAGATTAATAATGTGGATCTTGACGGATTATTTTGGTTTTTGGTGCGCTGAACCCGAATCTGAGATCTAAATTACCGAATTGGTTCTGGCTCCTGAGATATCCTAACCTAAAAGAGCTAAAATAGCTGTTTTTGGTCATTTTTGACTTCATGTGGCATCGTAACATAATTTTCCTCCCAAATCCTGTTAAAAGCATCTTAAGCACCTTTTAAATCGCGTTGAGTTTACTCAGATATCCTTTTTTTTTGTAGAGATATCACATTTAAAAGTTTCTTAGTTTAAAAAATCTCATAATAGGGTGCTATTATTTGTCTTGGGTGGTAATAGAACCATACTTAAAAATATATACAAAAAAAAAGACGTGTGGCACTCGGGGACTGCCGCGGTAAAGCTATTGCATAGCATTTTTTATCAACTTATGCAATTATAATTATTTATTTATTTTATTTATGCAGTATTTTTTTTCCTTTGTTTATTTTTTCTTTGATATTAATTAGATTGCGGGGCGAAGAGGGGGATTACGCATGCGCAGTAACGCGTCAGAGACAAGCGTGATATTTCCAAAAAGTCATTAAAAGTTCTGCTATTCATCGATAGATGACAAAACTAAAAGTATCACGTGGGGTGTGTTAGGTTACCGACAGGTGGTATCCGAGGACCGTCAGGTGGTATCAGAGGGGATTTCCGCACGGAAAAAAGAAAAAAAAAAAAAAAGGTGTGTTAGGTTATTTTCGTTACGGAATTTCTGGATTCGGTCTCCACGCTCAAGGCCCGCGATAGAAGCTATGCAATAGCTTAAAAATAATAAATATAATATATTTTATACGGTTGTCAGTTTATAATTAGGTATGAAAACACAATTCATTACGCAGTTTCGACGAATGGAATAAATCATCGATGTCTTCCAATTTGGAAGTTATATCAAATATATAGGTAAGACAGAATGATTAATGACTTGTGCCTGTGTCTTTTACGTGGAATATACATTAATCGCGATAAACGTCGATTAATGACCATAAACATCCAATTTTGAAATTCATAACAGTTTTGATATTATTTATTGTGATTGTGAACTTTATGGTGATGTTACGTTACCATCGTAATAAACAAATTAAAAATAAGGGTAGTGGCAACGAATTGCGCAAAAAATCTCAATGTGATTTAAAATTGATAAAAATCACTACTGAAAAATAAACAAAAACAAAAAAAAGGTAACCTTAATAGACCTTATAATGCAAATAATAAACATAAAATATTTAACTATTTCCACGTGAGGTTTTTTACTAAACATTAATCATTCTTTTCGCGATCCGTCATATATAAAGGTTTACGCACAGAAATTAACGTGACAACTTTATAGGCCACAGGCTGACTGAGAGTCAGCCAGACGAAACTGGTTGAAACGAATCAAAGATAAATAACAGCTATTGATCGATCACGTTAATACCCATACGTATACATGATATAAATATGACTATTATAAAAGACTACTGGAGATCAGATCAACCTAAGTAACCTCTAAGCGTGTACTAATGTTTTTCAAAAACTGTCTGCCTACAGGTCTCTCACCACCCTCCGGTATCGGCGTTTCATGCCGATAGTCCACATTTCGTATTCCATGGGTCCGTACATCCCAAGCTCAAGTTCTGTGGCAAAAGCGTTGAAATACAGCCCAAGGGCCACGTCACTGTTGAACTACCGCGGTAAGTGTAAAATGCCAACTTTATTTAATATTATACTAATATATGAACGAAACTAGATGTCACTAGTGTCAATCATACAATACATCATATAATCATATAATCATCAACATATAATCATACTAAATACATGACTGCAAGGATGGCGTAGTGGTTTAAGCGGTCACTTCGATGATTCCTGCAGCGCTGAGTTTTGTGGCTTCGATCTCCACATGGAACAACATTATGTGTGATCCACAACACACACAGGATAATATATTCCTTAATAATAATAATAATAAATCGAAAAAAAAAATCTCGAAAATCTCGAGAATCTCGTGAAAGTTGAAAAAGAAAAACAAATTAAATATTTGGATTTATCTCACGAGATTGTCGATATGTGGAATGTTGATTCAGTGATCATTGTTCCGATAGTCGTATCTGCTCATGGATTGATAGCCAAGAGCCTCGACCAACACCTTAAGAGGCTCACGTTGGATGGCTGGATCAAGGGTCTGATGCAGAAGGCAGTCCTCCTTGACACGGCTCGTATAGTGAGGAGGTTCCTATCTTTGGAGTCCTAACCACCGGTGTCTTGGTCCCTGTACCCGATGTCGGTGGTCTACTATTTTTTATATTTTTAAATGTATTTTTTTTATAAAGTGTATATTTAAAAATGTAAATAATATGTATATAAAGTAAATAAAGAGAATAATAATAATAATAATAATATATTTATTTGCAGAAAATGTGGTAGTCACAGTAGGTGGTTTACAATGTTTAAAGCACACGACACATTTCGCTATATTTAGATAGCATGCAAATTTTTAAATTGTGCAGGTAAAATTATGAAATAAAATTACATTAAATTGCACTTGAAATATCAAAAATCAAACATTTTTAAAATTGTACAGGTAAAATAATGAATAAAATAAAAATAAAATTACATTACATTGCACTTAAAATATCAAAAATCATATTAAAAATAATTACTACACTAATGCATTTCTGAAGTGATATGACTGAGTAGAGTTCTTTTTTAAAAAATCATTGACGGAGTAAAAGCACTCTGCTATTAGCCAATTTTTTAATGAAGTACAAAATCTGTGATAAGGAAGAGTTGCAATATTCTCCGGCAACGCGTTATAGATAAGTGGTGCCATGTAAACACAGCTCACCCTAAAAATTTCTAGGCGAGGTACTGGTAATTTTAAATACGAGTGAGTATTTTTACGTTTCTTGGTATTGTCCTTAACTTCAAACAGCTCTTTATTGCACTTCACGAATTTAGCTACTTCATAGATGAATATGCCAGGGACGGTCAACAGATTATGAGATACAAAGACAGGCCTGCATGAATCTGTCCATTTCAAACCGAATATTGCACGAAGCGATTTCTTTTGTGCTAAAAATACTCGCGTTATTTCTGATGAGTAACCCCAAACAATAATGCCGTAACGAATTATGGAGCAAACATATGCATGGTAGACCATTAAAGCAGTCTCCCTTGAAGCAACCTCTTTGACTTTTTTTAATGCAAACACAAACTTATTAATCTTTTTGCAAACGTTTTCTATGTGATACTTCCACGTCAGATGTTCGTCCACTGTAACACCTAGAAATTTTGTGCTCTGTATTTGTTCTATTTCTTGATCATTAAATTTAACTGAAATATCAAATTGTTTTGTTTTTACTGTTTTGAAATGAATAAGTTTTGTTTTATCTATATTAATTTTTAAATGATTCGTATCAAGCCATTTGATGATATTCTGAAGTGTCTCATTTACTTCATGTTCACATGAATTTAAATTATTACCACTTATTAACACTGTAGTATCGTCTGCAAATAGCACAGATTTGCGATTTTGCATTGCTTGAGGGAGATCATTGATGTAAATAAGAAATAGTAATGGCCCCAAAATACTCCCTTGCGGTACTCCGTAATAGTTAAACCTAGGTTCCGAATCGAAATATTGTAAACAATTAGTGCCACTATTGAATTTGGTTATTCTTGTAATTTGTCTTCGTTTGCTTAAATATGAATCCATCCATTGTAAGGCTATACCTCTTACGCCAGTTTTATCCAGTTTTTGAATTAGTACATCGTGACTCACAAAATCAAACGCTTTGCTTAAATCTAAAAATATAACGAAAGATGGTATTTTTTTATTTATGTTGTTAATTATAGATTTTATTAGAGAAAATATTGCATGTTGAGTAGATTTACCCTTTCGAAACCCAAATTGTTCTTTAGCCAATACGTCATATTTATTATAAAAACTAATCAGCCTTTTATTCACTACCTTTTCAAAAATTTTAGAAAAAATAGAGGTTAGGGCTATTGGCCTATAGTTATTTTTATCAGTTCTGGAACCTTTTTTGTGTAAAGGTCTTATTATAGATAGCTTCAAGTTCTCTGGAAAACAGCCTTGTTCAAGTGATAAATTTATTATGTACGCTAATGGTTCTGATATGAACTGAGATATGGGTTTAATTAGTTCTGTGGTGAAATCATCATGGCCTGACGATTTAGTGTTTTTCAGTGATTTAATTATATTGTAGACTTCTATTGCATTTGTGGGTTCTAAAAATATACTATGTTCATTGTTATTATTATTTAAATTATTACAGTTGATGCAAGTGGAAGTGATTTTCTCATTTTGTATTATATTCTTTTCTACAATTTCAATAAAGTAATTATTTAATACATTAGCTATATGGGGTCCCGAAACTATTGTAGCGTTATTGTTAACAATCGTATCGATACATGCCTGGGATGGTTGGTTACCAATATTGCGTTTAACAACATTCCAAGTAGCTTTACACTTGTTACTAGAGTAGGCAATATAATTTTTGTGACTGGTTGATTGTAATTGATTAATGCACTTTCTTAGTATTTTTGAATACGTTTTAAATTTATTTTTATTCTCCACAGTTCTATTGTTGTAGTATGAAAATCTTAGTTTTCTCTTATTTTTGCTGCAAATTTTAAGTCCCTTAGTTAGCCATTTTATATTATTACTTTTGTAGATTTTTTTAACTTTAATGATAGGGAAACATAGCTTATAAAATGGTATTAATAAATTATGAAACCTATCAAACGCAGTATTGGCTTGAGAAACTTCATATATTTCTGAAAAGGACAAACCACTTATACATTCAACAAATTTATTTATATTTTCTTTACTAAGATCAGTTTTATTTACAAAATAATGTGCTATGGCATTAATACTTTGACACTTGAATCCCAAAACTTGAGCAGTATTGTGATCTGATAGACAAAGGTTATGTGTTTTTCCAATCGCTGTTGGAATATTGCTAACAATATTGTCAATGCATTTATTTGCTCGTGTCGGCTCGGTAATATGACATTGCATACCATAATTAAAGATGAGTTCATTATATTTAATGCTATTACTATCATTTTGCAAAAAATTAATATTAAAGCCCCCGGCAATTACAACTTTACATTTTTTATGTTGTATTTTTATAAGCAATTTTTCAAAGTTTTCAAAAAATATGTTTATGTTTGAGTTCGGAGTTCTGTATACACAAATTACAACAACGTTACTGTTTTTAATTTCAACACCACATATTTCGAATTGTTTCTCAATACTCATATTTTTAATCTCAGTTATTTCAGTGCACTGATACCTATTTTTGCAAAGTATACAAGTGCCACCTCGACGTTGTTTTCGACAGTAAAATGCTACAAGCTTATACCCATTCAACAACATATAATTTTCCTCACCTTCACTTATAAAATGTTCACTTAAACAAACAACTTCAATGTTTAAACCTGATTCGTTAAGTTCATGAATAGCCATCTCAAGATCTTGTAGTTTATTCAGAGCTCCAGCAATATTTTGATGAAAAACCGAGAAGGTATCACTACTATTGTTTACGAAAAAACTCTTTTTTGTTATTGTCCCGCATCTTTGGTTTTTCTACAGCCTGAAAGTAGTAGGGAATTGTACCCTTACGCGGTTGAGACTTAGTACATACTTTAGGTTTTCCTACAGCATGAAAATAGTAGGTGATTAAATCCTTGTGTGATTGATTATTAATATTATAGCTAGATTTTATTGAATGAAATGAATTGATGGTTTGAAGTTTGTTTTGACAACTATAAGAAGTTGTATCCCTCTTAGAGGTTGCGGCAATTTTAAAGGTTTTGCTGTTATATGACAAATAATTTAGCGTATATTGTGTTAAATTTATTTTGTAAATGATTTGTTGTACAATTTCGTGACTATTACGGCCCTCTACAAATGAGCAATTTTTGAAATTCTGAGTCAACAGTCGAATACTATAATTAAGTTTTCTGTCATTCAGAAATGCATTGTGAAGAACATTAACGATGTATACATTACAATTTTCAAATAGCTTAAGCGCAGCAGAGACTTCACTTTGAAATTTAAGCGGATTGGAGTCATTACTACCGCTCATTATGATGACGCTATCTCTCTTGGTTAATTTTTGTGATAAAACATTACAGCTAGATAAAACATTCTCTGTTGTTGCAAAAGGGTTTTGTTATTGAGAAAATTTTGTATTTATTCAGAATCAGTTTATGTTGATAACGTATTAGTTTCTGAGCTATTCCTGCTCCTTGGTTATCAGATAGTAGGATAATTTGTCCATGTTTGAGGGTAGAGGTCTTTGAATGTGAGCCTATATTCTCGTTCACCTGTTTTTTTACCTGTGATTTATGGGTTTTATTTTAGACCTCTTTTGAAGATAAAATGAAAGGTTTGTCAATCTGTGCTTCACCAGAGTGTATAAATTCCATATTAGTATCTAAATCTGATTGTTGTACAGAGGGACGCTGCGGAGTTAGGAAATCAATATCTAAATCTAGTTTTCGAGGAGAAAGGTTGTTTCTATTCAAGGAATTTTTTTTATGTTTTATGTTACTAGCTGTGTTATTTTTTTTTAACACTCAAGCTCGTAACATACATATTTTTGTACTGTGTCACTTTCTTTCTTCTTGTAATTTCAGTTGAAGCGAGTTGTTTTCTAAAGTCAATACATCTATTTCTGCATGTGCACTCATCAACTGTGCTTTAAGTTTATTAATAGTGTCTGTTAGGACTTTAAATTCTTCATTTTTAAAATGCGTAGATAGATCTAGCATGCTTTTGGCGCTTTGCGGCGTTGACAAACTATCTATTGATTCTATTGATTGTTGTGAAACGGAACGCTGCACACATTTATTTCTCAGTGTAACATTATCATTAGAAGCCATATTTGAACAATTCAATTTTATTTGGAGAATTATGTAGATTCACAAAAAGCGAATTTTATCGGTAGGTCTCGAACTCGAGGTTGGTCGTGTAAGTACGCACATACGTTTCACCCCAGACCACGGAGTCAATTGTTCATGGAGTTGAAATACTTGAATATATTTAACGTGTTTGTTGTTTAACTTGAATATATTTAACTTGCGCGGGAGTTGTTTTTAACAAAATATAAGAAAAAGCAAGAATCTAAAGCCTGACTAGTTTGGGTACAGATTGGTTACATTGTTGCAACACAAAAAATATAATGTACGAGTATATTTTATTAGTGCCTTTGTACCTTAAACAAGACTATCAACAGTAGTAAGTAATTAATTGCGGTCATTAAGATTATTAAATTAAGGTTAATGAAGGTTCGAGAACATTTCTAAGTCATTGAATAATTCATTGAAACGTTCCAATTTAGAATCTATATTAAACATTCTAGGTAAGCGAGAAATTTCCTCAGAAAAGGATATTAGTAAATGATTTATGGCGTTTAATGTGTTCGTTTTAACATTGATATAGAAATTTTATTATGTGTTGGTTCGTATTACTGGTAAGCTGTCGTTAATCATAATTTGAGCTTTTAGATCGTAAAATTGTGGCCCAATTCTGGTTAGTATCATGTTTTATTAGGTAATCATATTTGACTTGGTTTTATGCGTCTCGTTTATAGCTTTCTATTCAGACAATTGTTTCGAAAAAGGCCACGCATTAGCACAAACTTAAAACTAATTTCTATGACGTAACTGGCTATTTTCACGAATGTGAAAGTGAAATGTCTAATATGGACGTGTACCGTGTATATTTCTAAGGTATGATTTTCTAAAAAAAACTAAAACTTTAACAAAAAAAAAACGGCTTCAAGAAACTCTATTCCAAAAGAAATTATTATGCACTAAAAAGTAAAAAAAAAACTGCATATTCTTGTACAAATTAATAATCAACTTACTTTTTCTACTCATCAATATGTAGGTACGATCTATGTGTTTACCACGCAAGAAGGTGGGTACCTACCCACTTCAAATCTAACTCAACATATACCTATGAATAACAAACAACGATCAAAAAATTTTTTTTGAGTTCTAAGTAAAATGAAATGAATATAATGTAGTTACAATTATTGATATTTTTGGAGTCGGTGTCAGCCAAGGAAATACTACGATATACCTAGCAATAATAATACGAGAATACTTTAAGACTCGACACAAGCACTTCTCACTTATAACTAAGTATATATGTACATAGTTAAGGTAGGTTTATTACCTTGGCTGACACCGACTCCAAAAATAACAATTATTGTAACTACATTATATTAATTTCATTTTACTTATAATATAAAAGATTCAGCCGAGTATCGTTAATTTGCTCCTAAGAATTAAAGAGTTCCGTTACTTTGTCGTGGATCCCATGATCAGAATCTAACCAAACTCCCATCAAAGTATCCCTAAAATACATCCATTCCAATAAAAAAGAATTATCGAAATCGGTTTGCGTGATATTGAGTTATTCTTCTGTTTGTCGCGAACATACTGAATGCAAATTTAAGACTAATATGGTTTTCTCATGGATTCCATTATCAGAACTGAACCAAATTGAAATGGGACCACACGGGAAGCATCAGCTTTCAAATAAAAAAAGAATCATTAAAATTGATTCACCTAGTCAAAAGTTCTGAGGTAACAAACATAAAAAAAAATACAGTCGAATTGAGAACCTCCTCCTTTTTTTAAGTCGGTTAAAAATAAATCGTATCTTAATAATATAGTCTTCCTAATTTTTTCCATTTTTTTTCTACTTTATTTTTTCCACGGCCGATAAATATAGGTATTCCTACTATGTTATGGCTATCCACAAATTAGTATTATTATGAAACAAATGATTAAATCATCCATTTATTATTGCAAAATCTGGTATAACCTTTGGCAGGCATTGAAAGTTTTAACATATCATGCATCACTGTCGGTTGGCCTTCGTTATAGATGACCTAATTTCCGTCATCAGGGCGACTGGATGTTAAGTAAACATGTTTGAACTAGAACACGACTCCACATTGACATGTTCGGCAATAACCGGAAATTTAACTTCAGCGACTCTCAACGTGGATTTAAAATAATATTGAATGTTGTTTGGCTGCACACGCTAATTCTTGGGACTACAAATCAAATTTGAGGAATTATCTTTGCATATAGTTACTATTCATCATCAGTGAATTTACTTTGAATAGCTGGTATAATAATTTTATACATCTTACACCTGATCCAAACTAGGCAGAGTATGTACAGTGGTAACCAGACTGCTGATAAATCTATTTTTATACTCGTATTTTTATGCACATACATGGTATAGATTACATCTAGACATAGAAAAATATGATGCTAATATATATATTAATAATAATAATAATATTCTACCACATTTACACAACGCCATCTAGTCCCAAACTAAGCAAAGCTTGTACTATGGCTACTAGATAACTGATATAAATACATATATACTTTTTTTTGTAAATACATACTTATTATAAATAGAAACACCCAGACCAAATCAAACATTAAATTGTTCATGCACACAAATGTTTGACTTGAGTGGGAATCGAACCCGCGACCTTAGGAATAGCAGTCCGTTACACAAACCACTACGCCATTCGGTCGTCATTATTATAATAATATTGCCGGACATCTGACACACAACGCCATCTAGCTTCAAACTAAGCAGAGCTTGTACTGAAAGCAAGTACTAGTATCGTTTCTATGACTTCAAGCTCAGTAGCTAGAATAGTGATCCAGACCAATAGCCCAGTCAAAATAATTATACTGTTTATTCTTAAGATGGGGAGAAGCCTACACATGGAGTAACGTGAATTGTTGTGTGCACAACGTCATCGTGGGGAAGCTCTGGATCGAACAGTTCGGTGCCATGGAGGTGACCTGCCACGGTGGCGCTGGCTTGAAAGCTAACCTCGTATTCAAGCCCGCTGGCTTCAATAACAGAGATTTGCATAGAGTCGATGGGCATATTGTGGATGCTAAGTAAGATTTTCCAAGTATTTTTAAGCTGTAAAGACGAACATGGATGAATGGATATATTTATAAGCTAGGATAATAGAAGAGATCCTGATACTTAAATTTGGAATTGAATTAAAATGTTTTCTTTCATATATTTGATTAATATGACAAAAACTGCTTTTGTATAGATTTTCATGTTGACTTCCATGCTATAGTATGAGAAGTTAAGCCATGCTTAGCATGGGAAGTACTGTATGTAATATTAATACTGATCCTCGTATTCTTTTTGTTAAATCCATATCCATTGTCTCAATTTTTTTTTAATATTCAAATATATAAAAAATATTTCTTGCCGCATTTCTGCACGTCAAGTTTAAGTATTCCTCACATTTATCGAAGTGCGAATATAGTTTAAAAAGAGGTACAAAGAATGTTTGCCTTATATAATACACACATAATGTTTTGGTACCTACTTGTTTTATTTTTCAGCAAAAAGCGTATTAAATTCCTATATGGGAAATGGACGGAGTATATCAAATGCTGTAGTGTGGCAGCTTACGACCAATGGGCTAAGGAGCGCGGAGAGGAGGCATCCTCGCAGACACCCTCACATACGCCTAAGAAGATGCTCGCGAAGTTGAACAGCTTCAAGGTCGGAGCGTTGAGGTCTATGTCGATACAGGATGTAAGTATTAAATTAATAAATTGGTTGAGTTCATTTCATATACAAATAATAATATAAAGTAAATATAAAATAAAATAAAGTAGTACGACTCCACGGATGGCGTTGTGATTTAAGCGCCGCTTCCTGCTACGTTGAATATTCTGGGTTTAATCCCTTCATGGAACAACACTTTGTGTGATCCATAAATTATTGTTCTGAGTCTGGGTGTTATTTGTTTCTGTTTTATTATTATTTACATTTTGCGACACAGGATCAGTTCTTCGGAAGTTGTTTTTAAAAAAGAACATAAAAAAATAAGATTAAAAAGTAATAAACCTAATAAATGTTTTTTAAGTATCATACTGCTTTTTACGGCATCATAAGTAGCTATACTCCCTGCGTAAATAGAATATTGAAACATTACAGGTGATCGTTAAGATTTTAAGATATATTTTGTAACATACACTGTGAATTATGTTTTCAGTCGGATGATGGTGATAACTCAGAAGAAGTTCCGAAGTCAGACGAGTCATACAATTTTGACATTCCGGGATCTGTAACGCTATGGGAGGCGAGACCACGACCTCCGAACAGCGCTCAGGTACAGACAACACAGCAAACACACCTTTATGATACAACATATTTGTGTTGTTGTAATTTTGCTAATACAATAAATAATAATATAAGGTTTCGTCGTTACGTTTCCACTCAACCGATGATTATGGCACTTAGTAAGAGATATAGAAAACACTTGTTTTCTTTCATTCAAAACCCTTTTCCTTAAAAATAGGATGAATGTGGCAGGGAATGAGACAGCACATTAAGCGAAGTGTTTTTTTGCATAGGCCTATGTCCAGCACTTGACTATTAAAGGCTGTTGATGATTGATGATGATTTTTCTGATGCGAGAGCTCTATGTTATCTATCTGACTTACCAATAGGCATTTCGGGAATATTTATATTCCACGTCACGACTATTTTACTCTAGACGTTATAATTTATTTTTTCCACCCGATAATGTTTTTAATTGCATAATGGATTAATTATTAATTGGATATTGAAATTCAGTTGTTCAAATCTGATCAACATACTTACATCGCCGTGTATATACTTACATAAATTTTTGCAAAATTTTGGGTATTTAAAATTAAAGAGATGCAAAAATGAATTACTATCATGGAAATTAGGCTTTAATTACATGTATCCTGCATACTACTTTGTATTAAATTATGTAATTTTGTTTTATCAGTATTTATTTCATATGTATATCTGTTTCCCTAAAAAAACACAAAGAGACGAAAGAGAAACGAGATGATTTTAAAGTAGCTACTTCTTAAATAGTTTATTTTTCTTTTCAAATTGGGTAAATAATGAACTACGTCTGCGACAGGTTCTTGAACGTTTTCAGCAGGCAAAAATACAACAGAATTTAGACAGACATGTTTGAGGACTATCTAAATTACTACGTTATCTACTATCAAAACTCCTGAAAACTAAAATTCCTTTCAATAAAAAGAAATATTATTGACACTTAATTTAGTCGAAAGAAAAGTGGAGACATCAGTCACGAGTAGCTTATACGAGTACAAATACTTAATTACACTACAAGTACAAGTTTGACTATTTCATTTTTCCAGTACTACCAGTTCACTGAATTCGCTATGTCCTTGAACGAGTTGGATCGTGATATGAAGGGGCAGCTTTGTCCGACTGATAGTCGGCTTAGACCAGATGTTAGACTACTGGAACAAGGCGAAATTGACGCTGCGGCAGCTGAGAAAACTAGGCTGGAAGAGAAACAGCGCTCTGCAAGAAAACTACTCAAGAAATCTCCTGATCCTTGGCAACCTAGGTAAACTTAAACAATCACCTAAGTATCGATTTTGACATAATACTTATTAAATTTTAAACTTCTTATTTAAATGATATTTTATTATTTAAAAATTTTGATCTGTGATAAAATATATCATATTTTCAAGTTTATATTTTTGGTATGTTGTTATATATAAAATCAATAATTAATTTACTAGTAGTACAATTTTGAAGAATAATTTAAAACTTTTAAACGTTTCTATGAAACCTTTTGCCTTTTAAATATGGAATTGTGTTTCTCGATTACATTATCATCGATTGAGAATTAAAAACGCTTCTAGTAGATTTAATGACGTTAATTTTTTATTGTAACCAATTTAAACACCAATTGTTAATGATTCCAGGTGGTTCAGTCAAGGCACAAACCCGTATACGAAACAAGAGGATTGGCTGTACAACGGAGGCTACTGGGACCGCAATTATGAACATTTAAAAGATGTAGAAATATTTTAACTTATTACACAACTATACCTCTAACTTAGCAGATGTTATAATAATGAATTGAAAGTAGAAAAACAGTTACAAATAGAGGATGACTATCTAAGTGGAAAATGTTTTAAACTAGTTCAATAGCTTCTAAACTAGATGACTTATTTATATACATATTTTTTCCTCTACTGATTAATTTAGTACTGTTGTTTATTTCAACTTTTTTTTAAATTACTATTTTTGATTGCGTTTTTCTTGTTGTCCTATTCTCTCCTATCGATATTATTTTCGAGATAAATCAGACTCTGTGTATACCTATTCGATATTTATATAAACCGTTAAAATAGGTAACTTACTACAGTTCGTACAATTTGACACAAGTGGGTGAAATTTTTGATGAGCAAATTCTTTTCTCGCGCTTTGTTGCAAACTATGTAAGTGATTTCGTGAAAAGAGAAATAAATATGAAACGTGAAACATAAAGCCGAAGGAGCGCGAGTTGTTTGTTTTGACCAATGAACGTCTATGGTTTTGGAGTTGGCCGTCAGATGGTAGAAATGAAATGAAATTAAATGAAATGATACTTTAATTTCAGAAATATGGTACATGGGCTGTTTATAGTTATTAGAAGAGAATCACATATTTCGTCAGTCTGTTCTGACATGCAAAATTTGAAACGTACATGCATATTACAACAAAAGATTGATTTAATAACAAACTACTAAGCTCATGTCAATAAACAATTTACATAATGTCATATATATACTTAATTGCAATGTAAATTTTTTTAATCCGATAATTTATTTCTAATATAGAACACAACATACAATAAAATATTATCAGGTGCTTTTGTATTTATCGCTCGTTTAGGTATTCGGTCACTGAGTATATCATTTAGTAGTAGGTAGGTGAAATATCAGTTGTTATACATCATATGCGACCGCTGTAAAGCTCGCTCGGTTTTATTTCCTAATTGATTAAAACAAATACAGACCAAAAATATATAAAAATCTGTTAGGTTAGGTAAGAATATACAGTGAACATGTGTTTCATTCTGTCTAATGACCAAGGCATTCTTAAGATAAAGACGATAGATTAACATTATTTTAAAATGGGAATTTGGGAAAGGAGAAAAATTGTATTTGCAAAGCGAAAAAATATATTTATGGTAGAGGAATAGTACGCAAACAAAATATTATGAGCAAATATCGTGAGAGATACTTATTAAAATAACCTACGTTTGTGAAGTTTAGAAAATAATAAAATAGCGATGTTTGTGTAAAGAGGTATTTACTTTTTATAATTAATGGATCTTGTTCTAAAATCAAATTCCACTAAGAAGCAGTTTTAATTGAAAGTGAATTTCCCTTAGCAAAAATATATTATAAAACATTCGAGAAATTTTTTAAGTTTATCGTAGACTATTTTGGAACTAGAATTACATTTATTCAGTCTCAAGAAGATTAAAAATTGAATAAGTCATGCACTTTTCATTATTAACAGTGAACTCACTTAACACCAATGGCTAGAAAAAACTATAGGTACTTATGTGTGTGCTTCCATTATATATATACATATATATATTGAACACATAACCAAATTTACTCTGGTGTAAAATACTCCAATCTTACTTTATTTCAGAATAAATACAAAATAAACCGTAATAGAAAATGTTATATAAATAAAATAAAAAAAAACATTTTTGGTGCCTACAGTAATCGTAGCGCAGGCAGAAACACGTTTAGTACTTGACTCTATTATATATTTCTTTAACCATCATTTAAATATTATTTGGACCTTAGTAGTTTTAATAGTTTTTCTAAATTGTGCTTGAAGTGCTTAAAAGTGATATGATAGCTTTGACTGTGCTGAGTTAAAATTATTATTACCCGCTTGAATTTTTAATTATACTTAAACTGGAAAGAAGACCCATATGAATTAATTGTCAAGCAGAACTTGTGCAGAAGAAGCTTGTGTGAGCAGAAACAGTAATAACATAAAAAAAAATATTAAAAAAACTCAGTAGCATCTGTTCATTTCATGAAAAGTCCCTTAAATGTGTATTGTCTATCTTCTTTAAATATTTTAGTAATCGTTGCTTCTTAATGTATTGAAACAAAATAAAGTCAATTATTATTAGTAAACATCATGTTGTGTCAGAAAAATCATTCTAAAAAAATATTTTGATTTTCCCAACATTATTACCGCCTTTTTTTCTTGGCCAACACCACAGAGAAAAAATCTATATGACATATTTATGTACACGTTACCACAGATTATTCGAATTACTGTATTGGCTGTATACATTCGATTTTTTTAGAACTTAACCTTTTTCTGAAACCATGTTTTTCTGTACCATGGAGTCTTCTTGATAACTAAACGAAATACTTGTTTAAAAATAGAGATACCGTAGGGAATAGGGTTTTACTGAACCCACAAATCTTTGATGTTGATCTTAGTCATTCCACAGAATTAATACAAAACTTAAATAAACCATATGTTCGGCTACCTAACAGCGTCTTTTAGGTAGATAATTATATAAGTACGGGTACTAAGCACTATTTTTATAACTTTTCTCATTCAAAGCTCGACTAAATGAATTATAATATCTGATAGAAAATTTCATCATGACATATAAATTAGGTATCTACTTATAAATCTTAGTAGGTACGTTTTATTATTAAAAAAAAGTTTAGAAAAATAGTCTTGTTTCATAATTTTGCACTTAAATATTTTACTGACACAACATCGTACAATAGTTGTTAGTAATAAAATATCTACCTTATAATAATGTAATAAAATAAATGAAATTGTTATGAAAAATACTTATGTTGAAAGCAATCCAAAAATGTTAAAGCAAATTATATTCAAGTAGTGTGAATGTTAAATGTGGAATCGTAGCGTGATCAATAATCATATTTAATAAATTATTATTGGTAAATTGATCTCTTTGATGATCATTTAGGTATAATTTAGCATAAAATGCTGTACAAAATAAATATTAAAAATGTATATAATATAGAAGCCAACAATTTGGCAGCTTTAAAATGTTTATTTTGAAATAAATTTAAGTTCAAAATAACTAAAGAATAAATGAAATAAAATTTAAAATATATTAAAAAAATTAACACCTCCCTTGTGGAATGCAACACAAGTAAACTATTATTGTAAGATATAACATATATCAAATAAAATTTAATAATATAATGTAAGCTATTTTATATTAATCAAAAACATAATCAGTGTTGCTTAGCGTAGTGGTTAATAAAAATTAGAGGTGTTGTATTTTTATGATTCCTATTCAAAAATATTTATGAAAAATATTAAATAGCCATCGACAATAAGGATATCCATTATTGGTTTACATCACTATGAATATAAGACATGCCCGTTGTATATCTAGCACAGAGTACATTGTAATATACTGAAAATATCTAGTCGTCAGTGCACAATATCCCCCTAAATAAAAACTAATAACTATTGTATAGTGCACTTACTATACATATATTATATCTAAAGAAATTAAAACTTACTTTCCACTTGCTTAAAATCAGTATTAAAATCAATACAGGACAGGACTTATCAAGCTTTTATCTTATAAAGTTTTTAGACTGCTTTACTTCCAAAAACAGTTTCTTAAATATTGTTTAGTAATTTTATATACATACCTATGATAATTTAAGGCATTCGATTCTACAATTATCTACCATAATATGGTAAATACAAATACATTTATTTTGTTAAAACGGGATTATGTATTTATGGTAATTAAGTTTTGAAGTGAATCAATACAAAAATACAAACTAAAACCCCTATCAACACATCATTATTATTATTTGTATTTCTGAAATCTTTAACCCTGAACCTTCTCAGAAGAAAGATTCAGAAAATACAATCGTATGACGGGGTTTTTATACAAGTTGTATTGAGTTGGCATTCGTATACCTAACCTTAACAGGATCATCACAAACTGGAATATGACTGTAATTAATCATAATATTATTAACTACCAAAAGTTCAACTTAGAAAAAACTTTTTAACATAAAACGACTACTGGAGGTTATAATGATTTATTTGTTCTTTGTTCAGATCAAGTCAAGCTCTTGTGGTAGTCTGGTGGTAATTTTGAACTCGTGGTACTTGTGGTAACATTATTAATGTATCTATTAACAAGTTGCATTGTTTAATACGGTAAATGTACGCCAAATGTCAGTAGGATTTGTGTATGTAGCGGAAATTGTAAATTAAATTAATAAATTATCAAATGTAAACTGGAAATAAATAGGTTAAACAATGAATTTAAAGTGTTTTTTTTTTCTTATAATTAATGATTTCAGCCAGTTTTAACCTGTGAAAATTTTATATATGCATAGAAGCTTTTGCAAGCCACTATTTTTTCTAAAATGCCATATTTTCTTTGTTCGTGTGGTGACGGATTAAAATTACGGAGTGTCACTACCCCCATAAATCCCATGGGTGTCGTAAGAGCCAACTAAGGAAGCAAACTATGCAGGATAACAGCACTGTCAAGAGAAGGAAAACTTAAAACAAACTCAATACTAACCTGTCAGACCAGCGTAATGTAGTAAGCCAAAACCTCCTTTCTAAGGATAAGCATATGTCCAGCAGTGGACTTTTAATAGATGATGTCATAATTTTAACACAATCTCCTAAGAGTCTAAAAATAATCTTCTACCCAAGAAATAGATATGATCTCTTTCGAAGGCGCTATGTGTTTTATTAAAACTCAAAATCAAACTTTGACTCCTTGGTATTCGTACCCAACGGTTTTGGGCTATTCGTACCCAATTAAATTGCGTATGAATCCAGCCCCTAATGCTAGAAATAATTATTTTAAATGACACCGTATAATGTTGTTCGGTACAAAATTATTAAAACAAATGAAAAACTGATATAATTCCACTCTTTATTGTTTACCCTTTCGAGACACCTAAATCGCATACAACGTTTAATCGAACAGTATCACAATCTTTCATCAAAGCATTAATATTTACTACATGTACTATAATAAATATTAATAGATATACTACATATCTATTAATATTTACCGTATAATAAAATCGAAAATATAATTATATCCAATTCGTATAAAAAAAATGTATAATTTTGTATAAAATAGTACAAATAATCTAATTTAGTTTAACAAATATTTCTTTCTTTTTTTTTCTTCTCTCTGCCGTATAAATAAAGTAGTGAGTGTAAATACTTAGATAGAAACACATATAATTATTTTATAATTTACACAACATATAAAAAATACAACAAAATTGAAATCATAGGCTCTCGGATTATGTACAGATTATACACAAGTTGTTACAGGTAAATTAGCTTGGAGAAATTTTTGCGTTTGTAGTAGTGTATGGTCAAACTGGTTTATTCTGGTTTTGTGCGTGTTTCCACTTTCCACTATCAAGTGACGATTTTTTGCTTTAGATTGAAATATCTCGGAAACGGTGCGTCCTAGGCCAAAAATAACAAAAATTTTGACCCCCCCGTAGACTCCCCGGAGTTTTAAAAACCTAGATGAAAGGAAAAAAAAAAAAACAAATTTAAATATCGGTCTCTCCTCTTTGAAGTTTCACTTCTATCGTGTGTGAATCGCACACACACCTTTTTTTTTATAAAGTCAAAACCTTTTTCTTTAAAATAAAAACTTGTTTTTATTGAAAACAAAAATCAGAGTGTTGCTAGGGATAAGTATAAAATTAAATAGTAATGTTAGGATATCGAAACATTTTTGTATAGGCCAGAACAATATAGTGGAAACGCGCTCTAAGATCTGAGTAATATACACACCACTACATATGCAAAAAATTCTTGAGACTAATTTCACTGTACCGGGGTAAAATGGCACTTCAGATACTCTTGGCATTTATACAAATTTACCTAAATTGTAAAATATTATATGAACATTGTTTGGTTATTATCTACTTTTTGTAAAATATAAAAATAACATCTTTTTATTTTTATTATTCATTTACAATTCTACAACACTACACTTCATAGTTATGCTGAAAAATAAATAACATCAAAATAGATCATCACGGCACTATTTAAGATAAATATTTTAATATAAAAAAATATCACGTATAATATACTAAACAAAAATGATATATTTAGTAAAAGCTTAAAAAGTCTAGGCAAGAATTTAATTTAAAAAATCATTTATATATATCTAGGCACTCATATCACATTTATTTGCTATTGTTTGACTGTTATATCTAAATACTTATCTAAACTTACTTATATAAACTTATTTTAGTAGGTACTTATTGTAAAAACCTTTTTCAACACTACATTTAATAAGTTTTTCTAAAAATCATGTTTAATAAAAGTGAAAAGAATTCTTTATAAAGGTAGGCATTATTAACAGTTTTTTTTAAATTAAGAAAACTACTAAATTAGTGAAATAGTAATAAAAGCAAAAAGATAAAACGTTGCCAAATATTTGGCATCCGTCCTGGAATCTCATTTAAGTCGATTAAATTTTGATACCTGTGTTACAATCTAAATGGCGTCATAAGCGCACTCTGCAAAACATTTAAAAGTAACCTTCTCGATAGATGAAAGAAGACATTATGGTAGCTTGTTTCTTTAATTATCTTTTTTTTTTAAAGAAACTCCTACATCACTTTTGTTTTAAACAATATAAAGACATAAAATATTTATTTTGACATACTTATTATATACCACCACTTAATTTCTTACACTAGAGTTTATCTTTCTTTTTACTAAACGTGCGCTTCGAGCCCCGAGTCTAAAAAGTCTTTCAAATATAATGGCACTGCCCTCGGGAAAGCTCTGCAAATCTGGAACAAATAACATATTTCATTATACCTACTTCAATAAAAAAAAAACTTTAAAAGTAAATCCATGTAGTAAAGTATAGTATACACATAGTCTCATTGTTTTTCGAACTAGAAACAGGTATATTGCTTCTGTTGGCATTTTTTTTAAATAATCAAAGTAAAGATTGTGCGAAGTCTGCGAGTGATAGCTAATAAAAATCAACTAGGTATAATCCAAGATTTATAAAAGGCGATATATGTATGTGTATCAGATGTCCATTCCGGTGATATCATTTTCGGGAGCTTATTCCGACGATTTAAAAAAGTAAAATTTCATACTGTAATCAGTTCTACAGAAAAACAATATTAATAAATATATTTCTCTTCATGTGAACAAAAATGTAATCTATGAAATGGCCAAATAAAACACTCAACTTGTTCTATAACATGAGCTAAAAACATATAGTTATATATATAGTATATAAAGGCATATAGGTCTTATTACTACGTACTATCTAGACGAAACGAGATAAACTGGAATGGTTTACATTCTAGTTTATTTCGTTATAAGTATCTCTGAATGTTAGCCATGACCGGTATAAAGTGCCTGAGATGGTACGACGATGGTATTGAAACGTATTTTTGCATAATTATAGTTTACTATACTGTTGGTTGCGCCTTGGTTAGAGTTAATATAGATGTTTTTAATAATGTTATACGTACTTTTTCTAAAATGAACATTCTAAAATGGAGTGCTACAGTGCTCCATATGCATAAAACATAGGTTTAGACATCTCTTACAATAATATAGTTTGTGTAATAATTTGAGTTCATATGTAAACTATAAAACTAGAACTATGGAAGAAAGAAAACATTTACTGTGTTACACACATGCTAAAGCGGTGTACTAATGTAACATATTGTGATTATAATAAAAAAAAAAAACAAAATAATAAGATACAATGTTAATGCGTGTAAAACAAAAAGCTCCTCATAGGGCTCTTCGTATAAATATCTGAATCGCCTTCGGTATTCTGCTAGGGTCAGATAAATAAACTTAAATGTATGTAGTTTTCGTTACCTAAATCAGATATTGTATACGTCTTTGTAGCCTAGTCTAAACATTTAAAACAGTCATAGATTTTAGTTAAGCTTTTGACACTGTGTATCATAACTTTATGAGGCATACATATCTAATGTTCATCTGAAATAAAGACTATTCACAATTTAATAACGTAACGTAAATGTAATCAATTTACCATGTTTAAATAATATAGTGAACTCGGTATGGTTATCTCGTTATAATTCCTCCTCACAGCATCAACAATATTATCAGCAGCCTCTTGAGGAGTTAATATCTTCATCAGGGAAGGGAACTTGATCTTCGGGTTCTTGCACAGCCCAGTGTCCACGATGTATGGGCAGATTACTGTGAATTTTATCTAGAACAGAGAATTACACTAAAATAGTCTCTTTCATGGTATTTTAGGGCTTTATTTTTGTCTAGTAATTAAACAAATCGAAATTTGTATAAATATTTGACGATATAAGAAATGATAATACATTGTTTTGTATATTGCAATTGCATCGGAATCAAAATAATATCTACACACATGGTTCGGGTTCTCCCCAGAGTATACCGCCTGAGGCCGGCCGTCGGGGTGTTTTTAGTGGCAACACCTTATTCTCCTGGCTCCTGTGTCCCCTAGGAGCCGGAGATCCAAAGGGATTATCTACCCCATCAACAGTATGCAGTTTTGTACATGGTAATGGGGGCTAAATTACCAGAAGGTTACCTGAGCGTCGGCCCGGGGGACGGATCACAGGACACTGCAACTCAAGTCGCAATTACGTTGCCCCCCTTTGAGTACCCTCAAGAATTGATAAACATCGGTTTTCTGTGAGCCATAATATCACTACGGTAGATTCGGCCTATATATGCTGACGCATGGCTCTCCCATGGTAATAATTAGTGCCTCCATGAATTTGAAGAAGATCAATTTGTATTGTCATAATCAAATGAATTCTTTTTTTTTTTAATTTAGTTTAATTTATTCGTCAAATAAGTTCTGAATCCCAAATTACTTACACCACTGTAATCTTTATTCTTATCCTCCCTGAGCTCCTCATGCAGGGCCTCCATTAGACCTCTGACTGCAAATTTGGTGGCACAGTACGGTACTAGGTTTCGAAGACCGACGATTCCAGCCATGGATGACATGGCGACGATGTGGCCATGGTTCTTTTCCATCATAGACGGTAAGAAGGCTTGTAGAAGCTGGAAAATCAATTCAATCGAAAATTGACCATTATTATATTTTTGATTATCTTTTAAATATTCTGATTTGGTTACTTGTGATCGAAAGAGAATATATATAGTCCACATCTAATATTTTCATGTATAGCTAGGCGTACCTTATTAACCTTTTTCTGCAAGTTTTATTACAATAGAGGTAAAGAAGCAAACTTTCATAGATCGATGACAAAATATCAGAAACTACTAACAGACAAAATAAAGCATTTACAGAAACTGAAAAAGTAAAGTAACATGGGTTACCTTTTACCGCGATAATTGACATACACGCGGGCGGGCGTTAATAAAAGAATATTTATGAGGAATTTGACGGAGGATCAGACGGCTGTGTGTAAGATGTGTGAGCATTAATAATTAATGAAATGTAGTGCAGACAGGTCACCTGCTGGTTAGTGAAGTTGGTAAATGATTGAATGGAGAAACTTACCCATAAGTGAGCAATTATGTTGACTTCGAACGATGAACGGATCTCTTTCTCTGATGTTTGTAGGAGCGGCTTGCAAGGCATGATGCCGGCGTTGTTTATGAGCATAGTGACATCTCCTACTTCGCGACGAATCCTCTCAGCTAAAGCGTTAATGGCTTCGCGGTCTGTGACGTCACATCTGAGGATTTAAGTATGATAAATACCACTTTGAAAATTAAACTTCCAATTATCAGAGATATGAATACAGTAATACAATATTTATACACTGCTGTGTGCTGTGTCAAATAGATGTCACGTTGTTGATATTATAAACGCGAAAAAATGCATACATAATAATATATGTATGGATAGTAGTGATGTGCCGGATCGTTAACAAAGTATATCCGCGGATACGGATCCGAATACGGATATTTGGTGTCAAGATCCGCGGATACGGATACGGATACGGATCTTAAGTTTCTTACTCAATCGGAGCCCGTGACCTTGATAGTTGTCGCCACTTGACGCTTTGCCGTTGATATTTAAATATTTCATTATTTTAATAAGCTAATACAAAGATGTTTGATTGATCTCATTATAAAGATAGCTGCCTAGTTGATTTAGTGTAGTACGATAAATGATTGCAATACAAAGGTGCCAAATATTTGTTTTAAGAAATAAAAAGTAATCTGAACAGAATTCAATAGTTTTTCATGGCTACCTAATAACCATTATTCATTGTTATTTTAAATTTACTGAAAACCTCTGAAGTACATATTAGTAAAATTATAAACAACAACTTTTCTTCTGGACTAACACCGAAAACGAAAGAAAAAAAAATGTTTCTCCATACCAACTAACAACATTTGATTGGTCATTTGAATGGAGGACCAATTTTTTTATCATTTTGACGTTGGCCAGAAAAAAAGTTGTTGTTTATAGTGTTACAAACACATTCCTAAGAGTTTTAGAGTAAGTACAAAATCACCTATATAGAATTTCATCTATGTAATATGTATTGAAAGATCCGCCAAAAAAGTCACGGATACGGATACGGTTACGGATCTCTCTTCTCCCTTGGATATCCGCGGATACGGATACGGATACGGATATCCGGCACATCACTAATGGATAGCCAGCCGATCTGGCGAGATAGTGTAACAAACATACCCAATCTCGCCAGAGCGGCTAACCGAATCTGGCATAGTGCTGTGTTATTATAATGTAGGCACATTTGATCTATTATCAAGGACATAATCGTCGTAGGTATACGTAGCAAAGCGGTTAAATGCTAGTATAAAATAAATGTATTATTTTATGAAGTAATTTAAAAAATAAAGGAAAATATCACCTTGACCTGTATGTGTGTGTGTGTTTCAAAATAATAGAACATCTTTAATCATAATTATCTAGAAGTGACGTAGCTGTGACGTAAGATTGTTTTGAAAATATGCACAGGCTGGTGGGGACAATAGATTTTTTTTTGTTCGTCCTAGTGTTAAGTAACATTGTCTTAGGCTTAATTTATTTTGTAACTAGCTGTGCCTGCCTTTAAGTTTAATTTGGTGTTATCGTATACCGTTTGAAACCTTAGAATCTATACGTCAGATTATATCCAAGGTGTTAAAGTTAGTTTCAAATATTTTGCTTACGATTAAACTCTGACCATCTGTAGAAACTAACAAACAAGCAAACTTACAAAACTTACAAACCGACAAATTTAATTTTTATAATTTTCATATTCCCAGTGTCACTCACACAATTAAAATAAATCTCACGACATCATCCAAGCCATTAAGACCACTGCGGTCCTAGTGTGAGTTTATTTCACTTTGGCTCTGTGAATGGTGACGATTTGTGTGCGGGCCAATAGCAACGTCCGTGTAGTGACGGATTAATAATACGGAATGTCACTACCCCAATTCATCCCGTGGGTGTCGTAAGAGGCGACTAAGGGCGCAAAACAACGCAGGACACCAGCACTGCAAAAAGAAGGAAAACTTGATACAATCCCTTTACCAACCCGTCTGGCCAGCGTGGTATAGTAGGCCAAAACCTCCTTTCTAAGGAGAGGCCTATGTCCAGCAGTGGACTATTAAAGGCTGTTGATGATGATGATGATGATAGCAACGCCGAACGCGATCACCGTGATGATCGAGTAGATGAGAAATAAACTCACGCCTAGTGTGAGCAGGCGTGACAAAGAAATAAATATACTTCTACCGCAGTCGGTAAAAACACAGACTCGCTGACAAACAGACAGGACAGTGAGTGTTGTGGGTTCGATCCCCACATGGGACGACACTTTGTCTGATTAACAAATTGTTGTTCTGAGTCTGGGTGTACTTTGTGTCCGTTCCATGTACGTTTGTAAAGTCCCTCGCGACAAAGGATATATTCCTAATGCGGGAGTTATCTTTTTAAAAAAAGGAAAAAGCCCTTAAAATACCTGATTTGTTTTAACTCTACTTACGCTTTTCTTTTTATTACTTTTCTTTCAAGTACGGACACGTCGGATTTTAGATTTTTACTATATCCATACTAATCCATACTAATGTTATAAATACGAAAGTGTGTCTCTCTTTCTGTCTGCCTGTCTGTTACCTCTTCACGCTTAAACCGCTGAACCGATTTATATGAAATTTGGTACAGAGATCGTCCAAGTTCCGGGAAAGGATAAATGGTAGGTTTTATTCCAGAAAACATCCTTTAAGGGGATGAAAAGGGAGGTGAAAGTTTGTATGGGGAATCAATAACTTCTGAACCGATTTAAATGAAATTTGGTTGATGAAAGACATAGGGTACTTTTTACCGCGATAACCGACATTACCGTGTATATAATCTAGCGTGTATATAATCTGTTTACTCGTAACTACAAGTTATATATGAAACTAGCTGACCCGCGCAACTTCGTCTGCGTCTCTCAATAGTAATAAATTTTCTCCGTTTTTGAAACATTCTTTATTGGTGCTCCGCTTCTATTAGTCTTAGCGTGATGATATATAGCCTATAGCCTTCCTCGATAAATGGGCTATCTAACACTGAAAGAATTTTTCAAATCGGACCAGTAGTTCCTGAGATTAGCGAGTTCAAACAAACAAACAAACAAACAAACTCTTCAGCTTTATAATATTAGTATAGATAACTTTTTCAATTTGAAAGCCCTATTCAGCTATTTCGTCAAGCTACGACGTGAGTAGAACGTCTTGTTATAATATAGTCATTAGTAGAAGCGTTGCTTTACGAATATATGATAGCTGGGAAGCCAGAAATATTAAATTTACCTTTGCATTGTTCGTAATACGTACACGGCGCCATTAAAAATTCATAAACTAATATTAGTGAGTACACTTATGTCATCATTATACCTTCATTGTAAATGCTTCCGTGTTTGGAGGTATATTTGAATATTAATTGCTTGTCCTTGACGACTTGGTAGCATCAAAAATATACCGTGAGCCAGGTAGACAATGAAATACGACCTCCGTCCTCCATAAGCGCAGGCCTGGGGGTGACAGGTGAGGCCATCTGCCGCTTCCAGGGAGCACAGGGAACATGGGGTTCCCACACGGGGGGGGGGGTCGTCTACTCGTCTGTAGATGACCCGAGGTATGTCGGGGCACCAGGGACTTAATTTCTAGGGTATACCTGGTTCCCCGGCTATTAGTACCCGAGACGGCGTGCGGTTTTAGTCGGTTCGAGTCCGACATGCCGCCGACAGGTGGTATCCGAGGGGATTTCAGCACGGAAAAAAAAAAAAAAAAAAAGGTAGACAATGAAAAATTTAAGTTTTGAGGGATGGATGTTACCCCTTTAACATAAAGGGATCATCTTATGTCCAGGCAAAGGAGATCATAATCACTAATCGCCGCAAGAACTTTCATAGCGCGATGTAGGCAAACCTAGACGCCCACAACCGACCTCCGGTCTTGGAGGGTAGTGATGTGGCGACTTCCACATACGGTGAAAACGAAGAAACATACTATAGTACCATTTAGCGAAGACACACCGAACTACGGAGAAACTGCTAATCCTGTATCGCGATATGAGTAATTCGCACGACGATTAGCATTTATACTACTTCCCAATATTAACCGTTGGGCCGCGGCCCGCCAGGCATGATCATCTCGCTTCTCCCTTTGTGTTGGAGGGACATGACACCCGTTCCTCCATAAATATATTTATATTAATTGCCACATGACTTTCATTGTGAGATGTAAAAATGAGTACACACATAACCAGCTTTCCATGAGAATATAACGGGTTCGAAGCCAACGCCTGTGTGCCACCACTGCGATGTCCGGACCGTGGACACTACGCTCCACACGCAAGCAAAATGCTCTGCGTGGGTGGAGCAGAGGCATGCACTACTGGTGGCGGTCATGAGAGTGGGAATTCTCTCACTAGATAACATGATTGCCGCACGGTACGGAGCAAGAGTGCGTGGAACTCTGCCGTCTCCCTTTGCGAGCAAGTTATGCTTGAGAAGAAAATGGCGGAGCGGGATCAGGAGAGGTTTAGACCTCTCCCGGCCCGCCAGGCCGGATAACGGGTCAAGTATAGCAGACGACTCAGGCGCGGTAGGTTGCAGAACGACCTCCGTCCTCCATAAGCGCAGGCCTGGGTGTGACAATTGGCTTAACCTCTAGTAGAATCAGGCCGGGGTGGCGGCGAGACGCGCTGCGGAGAGCGCGCGACCTTTCGGGAGCACAAAGGGAACATGGGGGCTTCCACACACGTTCATCTACATGCTGTAGATGGCCCGCGGTACATCGGGGTACCAGACTTTTTCTAGGGTTCCCGGCTACTGGTACCCGCGACAGCGTGCGGTTTTGGTCGGTTCGGGTCCGATAAAGCCACCTCACGGGTTGTTTCCGAGTGGATTGCCGCACACAAATAAAGGTGACAGTCAGGCGACTTTTTTTACGTCACCAATAAAAGTAAAGCTAATAATGGTAAAGCTAAATTATAATTAGAATAGGTAAGCATTTAGTAAATATAGAATTTTTTGTGCCTTTTGCACCTCGCCTCAAACGTCTCCCAAAAATAACCGTAAGTATAACTGGGTACTCACTCGTATCGATGAGCTTTTCCCTTGTTGTTTTTTATTTTATCTACGGTCTCTTGGTTGCCGGTAGGGTTGATATCCACGCAGACGATGATGCCGCCCAACTTGCCGAACCGCAACGCAGTTTCACGACCCATTCCGTGACCCGCTCCAGTTATCTTAAACAATCAAATGTTTTAATTAAAATAAACATGTAATTAGGATTATGACTAAAATTGATTTTAAAACCGCTGTATATTTTCAACAAATGTATATTAGAGCATAGTTTTTTATGAAAAAAACTGTAAATCTTTGTGGCAAAAAAAAACATAACTCACCAGTATAATCTCCCCGTTGACGCTCTTGGGCTCTGGTGGGACGAAGAACTGATACAAGCAATGCAGCCACGTGGCTGTCATTTTGACATACAGCACCAAGATCTCCAAGGCAATTGCAATACCGTTGTACACCTTCATCGCTATACCTTGCTGGTCCGTCCTGTAGTAAATAAGTAGCTTTTAAAAGTGTCACCAACTTCAATCATCATCAACAGCCTTTGATAATCCAGTGCTAGACATCGGCCTCTTCTTAGAAAGGAGGTTTCGTCCTACTATACCACGCTGGTCTGGTCAGTATAGGGTTGGGGTGAAGGTTTTCTTTGCAGTGCTGTTTTTTCCCCAAGTCGGCTCTTATGATACCCGGGGATGAATAGGGGTGGTACCACTCCATATTCTTAAGCCATCACACGGATAATGCTACATAATCAAATTACTTTATACGTGTAAGGAAGCCAAATGTTTATTATCGGTGCAGTTCAAAACGTATATAGTACACGTAGATGAATATACAATACTATAACGGGTAAAATAACTCCTTAATTATGCAGAGAATAATAACGAGACTTTAATTAGGTATGTACTCTGCGACACGTGGGAGCCATGTGCCGCAAGCCTATACAAATTGTATTTTTATAATTTGTATAGTTACAGATGATATCTACATCTGTTTTCCGCACCAGTTGCAACGCATTTGTGTTAGAGATAAATACCTCGGTTATACATATACATAGTTGTATAGATACTTATATTCATAATTATAAAATGTATAGTGATGCCATCTAGAGCAGATAAGCTGAACATTCTTGTAACTAATACTGAAACTCGCAATCGATATTCTTACGCTAAACTTGTAAGTGTAAAGTGCTTGCTAAACTGTAAAGAAACACTACAATCATGATCACATGAGATTGTCAGAGAACCCTTTTTTTGGGTTAGGGGTACAACAACATACATATATATATATGTATTTTCGTGTAAAAAGTTAAGTTGCTTAAGTTGATCGGATCGCGGTAAACAGTGACCGACTTATGATGTTTCTATTTACTTTCAAATGTACAAATATGACCATGAACCGTATACCTACTACTTATTTCTAATGAGAGAAAGGGACAATCATTTTCAAATTAAATTAAGTAATTTTTAAGGCTAACGACCCTTGACTATTAAATTACTGCGGATTTCAAGGGATCGAGTGTTTGCATAATAAAATCAAAACTGTGTGTGAGGACCTGCTGAGTTTACACAAAAAAAAATGTAGTAATTTATGACCGTTGTCTAGCAAACAGTTGCACATTACTTAAGCATCAAATTATTAGAATAGGCTAAACTAAGCCGTCGATATAGGTTATATCGAAGAGTTGTCTCATGGCGTTAACGACACTACCTCTTATCTACTGTATTTGGCAATCCAATCGACTCAAATTTTTTATGTAGTAATGCTTTTGTAACATTGACTTTTAGAAGAATACTCACATCAGTCAATAAAGTAAATATGTGTGCAATTACCACAAAATATAAGCATGTATGACCATAAGACATTGAGCTTCGCAATAAGCTTCTTATTTCGTAGTAGTTGAGTAAGTTGGTTGCCCCAACTCGGCTAGTTCGTTGATTATGCAAAATATTTCTCGTTTATATGTCAAATGTATATGTTTTGCTTGGACATGGGCGTCAGGAGATGAATATAAATTGCCATGACAGTATATGAGAGGTATTTATGATAGAAATATGGTGTCTTGTCTGTTTGAACTCAAACTCAAAATTTCTTTATTTCATAAAATTGTTTTAATCGTCTTTTTCGTTTTTTTAAGGCTCGGACAAACAGAGTTGAAAATTATAGTGTGAAAACTATTTCCGTGTAAATTTGTTAGTGAGCCTACTAACTGATGACCAAAAAAATACTACGAGTATCAATGTAAAGAGATCGATATTATTTATTTTTTAAGTTAAACTGCATCAAAACTATCAACGGAAATAAGAAATGATTGGAATTAGAAGAATCCCAAACTTCAAAGTGCACGCTTAAGATTGAAAATATTCGTTTCGTATGACAGTTAAAATCTAACGACTATGGCTAACTGTTTGGCAACAAATAAAAGACAAACCTCAAATATGATAAATAAATTAATAACTGAGTGTCTTTATTTCTTAAGGAATAACAATTTTATACCTTAAAAAAATCGAGTGAACATATCGTTATAGTATTTTTCGCTCGTTCGTCACGTTGTTTTAATGGACGAAACTACTATATATAATTTGTTTCCGAGATATATGCAAATTGATTGACAGAATAATCGCTCGTGTTAATAATCTATCTCAAATACTACCTCTACGAATAATAGTCTTTCATAGGCCTCAAGGCCCGAAAGCCACTTAGTTAATCACAAGCTAATTGTTAAAAAACAAACAAAGACTGCGTGTAAATGATGAACGTGAACTTGGATACTTAAACTATACAAACAGCGAATTCAATTTTTATATTTTCCAAATAATCAGTGTAAAATTCCAGTCATAATTAAGACGAATATAACGGCATCAGGCCTGCGACGGCCCATGAAAGAAACGGGCCAAAAAAATCTTTCCAATTTTACATAATTCAAAAACCTGGAGAGAGACAAAAACAATTCAAATAAAAAAAGCGGGAAATTATTGTGATAAAAAAGTTGAGGTTTCCTAGGAAGAATTTTATAAAATAATACTTATCCTGGCCAAAAATACTGTTACAAAAAAAAACATATTACAACATTTGAATTTGGATTCTGTCATTCTTATATGAACATACTAATATTTATGGCAAGACTAGGTATGTATATAAGTCTATTAGGTAATGGAATATTCTTCGTGTTCACAGTTGTTGGGCAACTAGTTGAATGGTTCGTATGGGTTTGTCAAGTTCGAGGTTAACGCGTGATGCGATGCGAACGGGTCTAACTTGATTATCACTCAAACTGTGTACTTTAGCCATTTTACTTCTTAGCACCAAGATTTATTTAAAAACAAGTTTCCTATGAGAAGTAGTTAAAGTCACAGAACAGATAATTCTTTGTTCTGTAGTTAAACCCAATACCTCCTCGCCTTCAAGTTTTCTCTCCATACCACGATTGCTTGTAAGAGTTTGCCTCTGAGCGATAAGGCCGCCATTTGTACTAACCTAGTTTAAGACAATTATTGTATATTTATATCTGGCTTTTTTTTATGTTAGAGAGGGCAGACGAGCAGACGGGTCACCTGATAGAAAGTGACTATCGCCGCCCATGAACGTCTGCAACTCAGGAGTCATAAACGCGTTGCCGGCCTTTTAGAAAGGCGAACGCTCTTTTCTTGAAGGTTTGAAGGTCGTTTAGTGTACAATAAACGGATATATTAAATACAATAAATACTGATCAGGCTTCCAACGTCATCATTAAGATTTATTAATAGTATAGATTAATAGTATAAAAATTGTGCAGATTTGTTATACTTTAATTTTTTCTATTATCTTCATTTTTGTAATGCATCGGCGGACTTAATGCCTAAGGCAGTCCCTACGAGTCAATCAATTGGGTGATGCAGAGTAATAATATGAGGCACTTGAAAAAAAAAAAATGGAAGTAATGAAATGTTAAATGAAATTTAACCGTACAATAAAAACTAGTAATATACTATTTTTCTGCTGTTAGTCAACAAACAAACATTAACTTCTTTTATGAAAAAGTGAGGTGCCTGTTTCGCAGCTGATGTTTCTGTCTTTCATTCTGTAAAAACATATTTACATTAAAAACATGCATATCATAAAGTTCCTTTACCCGTGGTTTCATTCTCGCTCACGTTATTTTCCTATCTTAAAATTTCAAGACGATCAACTGAGTAGTTAAATCTTTAAGGTGTAACAAATAAACGAACTCACATTTGAATTTTAAGTGACTTCAGCATAGTCACAGAATGGATAAAAGTACCAGTAGTTGATAGTTAAACTATGTACTAAAAGATGTATGTCTTTCTTTTCTTTCTGGAGAGACTGCTTTGTAAGAAATAGGTCACGGTTTTTTTTTTTTATCGTGTGGAACCTCCCACGGGTCATCATCTCGCCGGAGCTCACGATTGAAACCAACCACATGGTGTTCCATCACATGTAAGTCTATTGCCAGGTACTAGTTTATACCCTAGGAAACAAGTTCCTTGACCCTCCCCCGCTACGTCTCGCCACGCCAACCGGTCTGATCTTCCGCATTAGGTGTTTCACATCATACTATGAAAGTAACTTTTCATATTCCGTCTTGTATGTCCGTGTCGTGACGGATTAAGAATACGGAGCGTCACTGTATTTAACCCGAGGGTGTTGTAAGAAACGACTAAAGAAGCAAACTACGCTGAACAATAGCATTGCAAAGAGAAGAAAAACTTTTATACCAACAAATCTGACCAGCGTGGTATAGTAGGCTAAAGCCTCCTTTCTAAGGAGAGGATCCAGCAGTTTACTATTAACGGCTGTTAATGATTATGAACTTTGCATATTTAAGAATGAATGTTTACTTAAAGTTATTTATAAAGGCGGATTTGTGACAACGACAATTTTTGAGTTTATGTTCAATATTTGCCTCGCAAACTACAGTATTAAGTCAGAAATAATAATATTTATTGTGTACAGTGTAAGCAAACAGTGATAACACCTTCACTAGCTGCATACCAAACAGCTTTAGTTAAATACTCAATACTGCGTACCATAGAAAATGATAAACTCATAAATGAAAAAAAAACTCTAGACCAATTATAATGAGGAATAGGTACTTGAACGAACATAGTTAGCAGACCAGAAAAAAGTGTAGACGAATAATTTAAATAAACAAAACAAAGACGGGTTAGTTACATAATTCGTAACTCAAGAAAGGCTAGATCATAAAATGATGTTTCATTGTTTGGATTTGTCTCCGCCCCGAATAGCATACATGGTTTATGAAATCTAACTCAGGTGAAGAGCAGAGCTGTGACTAAGACGCAAGTTAAACTGCAAGAAACTTCTAGTTTTATTATATTTATTTACGAAACACAGGGAGCTAGGATAAGAGATAATTCAATTAATATGCGGATGGGTAAGCAGGGCTGAGGCTACAAATAGACCCGTGGGTCCATCCTGGGATTGCAGAGGCTACTAAGGCAGAGCACACAGCTGGCCAATTATCA